TTTTTTAAAGAGAGTGGAAGAGAGGGAGGGAAAAAGATCGATGTGGGACACATTGATTGGTTGCCTCCCTCACATGCCCCAACCAGGGCTGGGGATTGGATCTGCAACCCAGGTACCTGCCCTTCATCAGGTATCAAAACCATGACCCTTAAAAACCCAATAAAACATACAACAGTTCCATGGGTTTATACTGCTCTAACCACTGAGAAACACTGACCAGGGCAAGTATCTCCTTTTCTACCAGCATCATCTTACCTTTGTTCCTTTCTTCCAAATCAAATCAGTTCCAAAGAGACTTAGGGCCTCACTGTTGGGTGCCTTTTATGTGCCCAGTACTGCTGTGGGTGGTGGGATACTGACAGTCTAAGAGAAGAGTCTGACAGTGAGCAAATAAGCACAATACTATCAGATAATGATTGCTGGTAGGAACAAAATAAAGCAAGGTGGCAGAGAGTAACTGGGTAACTATGGTGGGCCACAGCAAGCAACTTGAGGGCAGGCTCTATATAGCATCATGCCCGGACTTCTGCAGAGCTTCTCAGAGCAGCCCCAGGATGTGGCCAGGCCAGTTGGGATTGGCCTTACCTCCCTTCCTGGTTAAGCCAGAGCATATAGATTTACACATTGGGCTTCAGGATGACATCACCTTTGGTCAAAGATTCTGAAGAATTTGGAAACCACACACTGTTGGCTGTTGACTGTTGACGGTAGTCAAAATGACCTGGAATTTCTCTACCAGCAATTAATTGCTTCCACATATTTGGCCAATAAAACATAAAACAGTTCCATGGGTTTACACATCTTTTACCTGAGTTTTTAAATAAACCAATAAAAAACAACCCATTAGTACGATAATTAACACTTTCAGATCCTTAAAAACTAGATCAGCATAAATTTGCTCCTTAGCCTGCAGACTAATATTCATAAGCACGAATGGTGGCAACTAGAGATACTGTGGGCAGATGTAGCATTTCTGGGTATCAGGGACAAGCTCACCTTTTTGACAGGAGTAGAGTCAGAAAGGATTTAGCTCAAATACCCTGGCCATGAGCCCCTAGAGAAACAATTTTCAATCTTTTTCTTCTCATGGCACACATAAACTAATTACTAAAATTCTGCACTACAACAAAAAAAATGTTTTATTTTTAACCAATCTGACCAAAAAAAAAAAGTATAATTTTGATTTATTTACAAAAATAAAAATTACCTACTCTTTTTGCTCCAAAGTGATTTTTTTTTTTAAATCAGGTGCCGCCGAAACCGGTTTGGCTCAGTGGATGGAGCTTTGGCCTGTGGACTGAAGGGTCCCAGGTTCAATTCCAGTCAGGAGCATGTACCTTGGTTGCGGGCACGTCCCCAGTGGGGTGTGTGCAGGAGGCAGCTGATGGATATTTTCTCTCATCGATGTTTCTAACACTCTCACTCTTCCTCTTTGCAAAAAATCAATAAAATACATTTTTTTAAAAATCAGGTGTCTATACTTCTATACAGTATAAGGATTTCTGATACCAATAATCAATCAGACACATACTTATTACTATGCGACATGACCAATAAGATGCAACTCTATTATGACCTATATATTTATGGTTCAAGACAGGGCATTCACACTAGATGACTATTGTTGTGTTGGCTGTTATCCTTTTATCCTGGACAATCTAAGGGAAAAGAGATCAATGCCCCTGACTAAATGGTCAGGTGTTGCATGTTGCTCATGGCACACACCCGTTAAAAATAGCTGCCCTGGAGGCTGATAGCACTTCAAGTTGTACAGACAGGCATGAGGTGTAGAACCTAAAATAAGGGATGTAGAGCCACTACTGATCATCAATGTGGTGATCAGGCCTGGGAGGGGAGGGGGGATTATGGGAGGGAATAGATGTGCACTGTGTCTCCTCACCACTGAATTACATCAGCCAGTAGAGCATTTGTACAAATGCGAAGACACTGAGTCCTAGCACCCTGGTCTTCCCTCTCTGCTCTGCCTCTCACTCTAATGCCTTCTTGTGTCCTCTCTCCATATACCTCCCTATAGCTCCTACAGCACCCAGAGATAAAAAAAGAGCTCCTCCAAAAGAACCCTGGGTCACCCTGAGCCTGTCTTGGCTGCTAATGGTGCAGTCTCTTGCAAAAATTAATGCTGTGTCTCATCCAATTAATGCATGCTTCATTCTTCCAGAGCTTAACGAGATTAAGAGAATGTCGGGCGCCTGGCCCCTGAATATGAATGAGAGCTTTGCTTTTAGTCTCTGGCGCCCTCGCCTCCCTCAATGCTGAAATAGACAGAAGATTAATGCACACCAGCTTGATGTCTGTACAGTGCACAGGGAACCAGGGAGGGGATGAAGAGGGAGAGAGACAGGGGGATAAGAACTGCAAATAGAGAGGGTACAGGACACAGCTGAATGCACTAGGCCCTGGCTGTATGACAAAATCCAGTATGCCATTAGCTGTTCAGTCCTAGTCATCTGGGCACTGGATGAATTCAAGACCATCTGAGTTTTTTTCTTGCAAGAAGAAGAATACCAACTTCTCTGTGACATTTCCCCATCCACAAAGTAGACATGACTACTTTTTTTGTTAGTTTTTGTTTTAATATTTTATTGATTTTTTACAAAAAGAGATCAATGCCCCTGACTAAATGGTCAGGTGTTGCATGTAAGAGGGATAGAGAGCTAGGAACATTGATGAGAGAGAAACATCTACCAGATGCCTCCTGCACAGCCCCCACTGGGGATGTGCCCGCAACCAATGTACATGCCCTTGACCAGAATCGAACCTGGGACCTTTCAGTCTGCAGACCGACAGCCTATCCACTAAGCCAAACCGGTTTTGGCTAGGCATGACTTCTTACAATAAGAAGCTGCACTATTTGGTTTGTTCTGTGACCTGTGGGTGACCTTTGTTGAAGAATTTTTTTAAATAAGTAAAATATAGATGTACCAAAAACAAAAGGTAGAGTTTTTGATTATCTTTTATAAAATGAACCATAAAACTTAGCTCCCAGAAAGTTCAAACCATGCTTATTTTGGATGAGCTTCCTTCAGGTGTAAAGGATGTTAACTCATTATTGGCTATTAGTTGACAAAAATGGTGAGTTAATGTGTAAGTTAATGGCAGAGGATGGGAAAATATGAACCTGTTATTATTTGTTCTTCTGGACCTGTTATTTCTGTTAGGGAGAAAATGGACTACATAAAGTAAGAATACGATGCATTTATTCACCAAATATTTATCTAGCTTAAGATAAACTCCATGCCCTGACCAGTGTGGCTCAGTGAATAGAGCATCAGCCTTCAGACTCAAGGGTCCCATGTTTGATTCCAGTCAAGGGCATGTACCTTGGTTGCAGGCACATTCCCAGTGGGGGGTGTGCAGGAGGCAGCTGATCGATGTTTCTCTCTCATCGGTGTTTCTAACTCTCTATCCTTCTCCCTTCCTCTCTGTAAAAAATATTTTTTTTTAAAAAAGATAAACTCCAAGTGCCATGCTGATGCCCTGTGACACAGAAGTGAACAAAACAGTCACATGCCCTGAGCTCAAGTACCTTGATATCTGGTGGTGATGAAGCACACAGGGAAACACTTGTCCTAGAAAGCTGAAAGCGTGGTGCAAATAGAAAGCCCAGAGAGCGGGGTCCCGAAAGGCTTCTGGGGACATGCCTGCTGAACAGAAAGGGTAGTCAGGAGGAGGGTGAGCACTGGGGGAAGCTGCAATGCAAGCACAAGGATGGGCTATGGGACGTTGAGGAGGAAAGAAAGACCCTTAAAGAGAGAAGACAATTTATGTCCATTCCACGTGTCCTGCAAGAACCATGGTTGTCCTTATTTAAACTGGGTCGCATGCCATGTAAGAGTGATGCTTGATCAATAACATCCTTTGGTCATGGGGGATAAGTAAGGAGTGTCTGCACCCAAGCTTTCACTGTGTGCAGCCCAGTCCCTTCATTTCAAAATTCCCATGGACATAAAGACTTAGGTCAGGGTACTAAAATTCTAGGCTCCTTGCCACAAAGCAATCTATCAAGCAGAGAACAATATGGCCCCAAAGGGCAATGGTTGGAGGTTAGTGATGGAGGGACTATTGGCTTCAGCTGAGTTAACCCTGGAGAGGCTTTCTACGGACATCCAAAGGTTGATGTGAACCACAGCTGGCACAGGCATGCCCTGTTTCCGTGTGCCTCTGCCCAGTTCAGGTTTACACACACACACACACACACACACACACACACACACACACACACAGTCCAGGACTGCAGCACTCTGCTCCTTTTCAGCTGCCCAGCAAGAAGTCACTCCCACAGGCATCAGAGAGTAACGCCAACTTTACAAAGAAGCCGCAGGAGAGAAAGAGGAGGGGGTTGTTTCATACACCCCATTACTAGTGTATTTTAGAATAAGCCATGCAACATTTGTCCTTCCCAAAGGCCCTTCTCAGATACAATGAGACTGAGAGTTCCTCTTTACCTACACTGTCTCTGCCCCTCCTACCCTCTGCCCTCTACCCTCTGGAATTTCTCCTTCAATATCTAGTATCTATTGCTTCCCCTTCACTGTCGTGCACAGTAACTTTATTTTCTCCTCTGAAGTGAGGCCCCAGTCAACACCCCATCTCAGAGGCTGGCCTTCCACTAAGAGACAGGAATATCCTCACCCAAGGTGGTCTCTCCCCGTTGGGAATTGTAGTTAAGTTTGCTAGGGGAATAACATTGTCCTCAAATAGCTGCATAAGGAAAGGTGAAGGTGGGGTTCCAAAAGGGTGGGTGGGCCTATCTGTGGCTCCCTCTTGATCCTCTGAAGGGGTAGCCCACACACCACCCCAGGTTGAACTCCAGATTCCATACAGTCCCCAGGGCACCCAGGATGGAGGACCCTCCCACCGCACCCGAGATCTGAGCCTTCCTTTCTTCCCTCCCCCCGCCCCCCACACACACACCCACCAAGTGTCTCCTGGGAACTGGGGACCAAAACCCCGTGTTTCCCTGCCCGCCATGTCCACAGGTATCCGGATGCTGGACCAGCCATTCATGACGGACATCATCGAGGCCTCCTCCATCAGCCACATGCCCCAGGTGATCGACATCTACAGCGCCAGCTGGGGCCCCACAGACAACGGCAAGACAGTGGACGGGCCCCGGGAGCTCACGCTTCAGGCGTTGGCGGATGGTGTGAACAAGGTAAGGTTGGTCCTGCCAACAGGAGGTCCTAGTCCAACACGCGGGTGGAGAGGAAGTGATGATAGAGGAGGAAGGGGAAGCGCGGAAGGGGGGGGGGGGTGACATACAGTGGGCTAGGGGGAGCTGTTACCCTATGCTTAGCCCCAATTCTACAAAAAAAAAAAAAATGGACCCCAAAACAGCGTTATGAGTGCAGATTTGTCGAAGGGGATGGATGTCTGTGGAGGACAAAGCGAGGAGGGAGAGGGGGGAGGTCAGAGGAGGCAGGGGAGCCTTCAGACGCAGGCAGTGAGCATGCAGGGCCCCTGAAAAGGAGAAGGTAGAAGGAGAGTCCTGTTCCGCCCCGGTGTCCACAGGAAGGGGCCTGACTAGTTGCCCCCTCTTTGCCAGTCATGGCTGGGAGAGCCCACAGGCAGTGGGGCGTCTGTGCAGACCCTGCGTGGATCCAGGGAGATGCTGTAAACCCACAACGTCTCCACGGCCTCCCAGACGTTATTAGCCCAAGGACAGACAGAGCCAAGGAGATGGGACCAAGGCAGAGGGCAGCGGGGATTCCCTGGCTGAGATCCAGGGTCAGTGGCCACCCAGACATGACCGCCAGGCTCTGGGTGGCCACTGACCTAGAGTCTCCCTGGCTTCAGGTCCTAGGTGCGCCACTCAGTGTCTAAGCGTCTATCCTCAAGTGATTTGACCTCTCTGTGCCTCAGTTTTCTTGCCTGTAAAATGATGATAATGATTCATTCTTCCTGGGATCTTTGTCAGGTGTAAATGAGGTAAATACACAAGTGCTTGGGACTGGGCAATGCCTCCTCCCCTCTCCCCAAAGGCTTGGTGCCTGCCCTGGTCATGTGGAAGCTTAACCCACAGCCCCCAAACTTTGTGCATGAAGGCGGTGTGTCACTAGGCTTGTGGAGTCTGTGGATCAGGAATTCCGGTGGCCCAGTGGGGTTTCTCATCCCTGCTCCCTGTTCCTGGGCCTCAGCTGGAAGACTCACAGCTTGACTTACCGAAATGTTGTGTTTTCACGTGTTCTTGCAATGTGCTGAATTCAGAATTTCTCCCCGTCGGTGCCATCACACCCTCTGGGCAGTGTAGTCTTTTTGCCACATTGAGGTCTTTATTCAGGATTTGATTTGCCATCAGGGTGACAGCAAGGTCTTCTCCGTGCTTTCAGGTTACTTCTCTGTTCAGCCACTGTGTGGGAATCCCATGCCAGACAACGTGGTGTTTAGAGTGAGAATAATTAGGTCCTAAGTGAGGGGACAGGCCAGTATATGAAGTTTAGAATGTGGGCACTGGGAAACCCATGTTAGGAATTTTTTTTTTAGTTTTTGCTTCTTGGATTTTGACAAATTTCAACTAGATGAAATGCCCATAGCCATCGTTGGGTATATAAACTAGCACTATTATAAAGTGTAAAATGCATCTGTGTTATGTATATATTTAAATTATTTACAGTCTGTATATGGAAATTGTAAGCTCATTACTTATACATTTATAACACTAAAAGAGGTATATGGACAAAATGCTATTTTTAACAGTAGCCCAAAAAGTAAAAATATTGAAGAAAATTAGAGCAGACAGGTGAAGTTTACTTTTTCTTTTTACTTTTTCTTTTTTTAAGAGTTACAATATGCCAAGCATTCTTTTATTTTTTTATAGTCACTATGCTGGACATTAGATACCCATAATTTACATATCATATAACTGGATGACCAACATCTTTTCAATCCCCTAACTCCTAGCAACAACCATTCTACTCTCTGTTTCTATGAATTTGGTTTTTTTATTATAGAATCCACATGTGAGGTCATACAAAATTTGTCTTTCTCTGACTTATTTTACTTAACATAATGCCCTCAACTTCCATTAATGCTGTCATAAATGGCAGGTTTTCTTCTTTTTTATGGCTGAATAATATTCTGCTATGTATACATAAACATGTTCTTATTCATTCTTGCATCAAAGGACCCAGGCTATTTCCGTGTCTTATTATAAACTAGAGGCCAAATATACAAAGATTCATGCAAGAATGGGCCTTCCTTCTTCTGGCTGCCGGCACTGCCTTTGCTCTGGCCCAGAGCCATGTTTTCACCTTCCCACACTGCCCAGAGGCCCGGAGCAGCTGGGGCAGTGCAGAACACCTGCGTTGTCACCATCTTTTTTGGGTTAATTTGCATACTCACTCCTGATTGGCTTGTGGGTGTTGCAAAGGTACAGTCAATTTGTATCTTTCTCTTTTATTAGTATGTGGATAATGCTGCAATAAGTATGGGAGTGCAGATATTTCAGATACTGATTTTATGTCCTATGAATACACAGGGTGGGGAAAAGTAGGTTTACAGTTGTGAGTGCAACTGCTACCACTTTCTTCCCTTCTCATTACCAACCATGACCTTCAAAATCATTCCTTAGCTTTTGTCCCTATGACAATTTTTGTAATCCTATTGAATCTAAGCTTCTGAATATGAAGCAGCATAAAATTTGTAAAAGATTGATTAAATGAGCTCGGCTTGATTAAATTTAGGCATGGAAAATCTAACTTTAGATCCTCACATTGTTGCTTGCTCACACACATTCCTAGCCTTAATGGACTAAAGCTCTTCCTGGACAAAAATTGAGAGCATCTGGGCCCTAAACAATAGTAAACAGTAAGCCAACCTTAGAACATGGGTCAGCTAACCTTGGCTCACAGGCCAAATCCAGCCTACCAAAATTTTATTAGAACACAACCAAGCCCATCAAAGCCTTTGTATCCTTCCAGCCACAATTTCTCTTCCAACCAGAGTTGTCATAAGCTCCACACAGGAGAAGCACATGAATGGAATCATCACTCAGAATGACGGACTTTTCTGCTAGCCTGTCCATATCTCCATCTTCATGAAGTGGCTGACTTTGTATGATAGGAGGTTTGCTTCCTCTGGGCAGGGATTATTGTTTAAGGATTGGCATAAATAAGTGGATAACTGAGTTTGAGAGCTAGGATACCTGTTCCTCATTGGCTGTGCAACTTCATATTAGTGACTTAGTTTCTCCATTCCTCACTTTCTTCTTTTGCAAGATAGCCACATCAGTGCTTCTCAAAGTGTGGCCACTGGCCCACCTGGGACTTTGTGAGAAACCTGGAATCAGTCCCACCCTACTCACCCAATCTGATGTATCAGAATCTGCATCTTAACAAAATCCCATTCAAGTTTGAAAGGATGTGTATCATGTAACCCTAAGATGCTAAGACCATAATATATATTGTTTAAAAAAAAAAAAAAAAAAAGGCCACAATGTGTAGAAAAGGGAGGTAGAAATAACTCATTTTCTGGAGGTCATGGCACTACATGTCCTCATCAGGGTAATGCCTTGGATGGGCTGACAGCTGACTGAGCCGTATGCTCTAGTGCAGTGGTCGGCAAACTCATTAGTCAACTGAGCCAAATATCAACAGTATAACGACTGAAATTTCTTTTGAGAGCCAAATTTTTTAAACTTAAACTTCTTCTAACGCCACTTCTTCAAAATAGATTTGCCAGGCCGTGGTATTTTATGGAAGAGCCATATTCAAGGGGCCAAAGAGCCTCATGTGGATCGCTAGCTGTGGTTTGCCGACCACGGCACTAGTGTATCTCTCAGTTATAGGAACAGAAACCAGGTAGCTCAACTGAATGTGTTTATTTTTGTAAAGATGTAGGAGAAGTGATGAAAGCAACAGGATGGATTCAGGCAGGACCTTGTACAGACTGGAACCAGACATGTTCTAGACCCAAGGTGGCTTCAGGACATTGACTAAATCGTGTGTAGAGATCCCCACTAGGGCCCTGCAATCATGAGGCTTGTTCACTCTCACATTGCTGTTTCTCATTGACTTTATATATCTCTTCAGTTTCTTCTCCACCTTGAGGTTGATGTTCACATGGTACTTCTTGGACAAGGTCCCATTAGCACCATCCTTTATCACAACCTGTCAGCCTCTACCCAACTGCCATCTGCTCCACTCCAATGTTTTAGGTGGGGAATTTTGGTCCAAAATTAGGGGACACCTCTTCCCCCTGCTAGATTCCAAGGAGGTTCTTTTGGAAAGGTTTAAAACTTGAGGGGTCAGAGGACAGTTAGAAGGTTGCTAGCACAGCCCCTTTCTTTTCTATCCCGATAACATCTAATGTCAGTCATCTATACTCATCCTGGCCTTTCAGCCCTCTGATGACACTTCTTCTGAGCTGTTGAATTCTTTCAACAGACTAAACAGAAATATAAGACCTTATGTTCCCCCTCTGTTATGGGTTTAATTGTGTCCCCCAAAATTTATATGTTGAAGTATCTTAGAATGTGATCTTATTTGGAAATGGGGTCATTATAGATGTCGCTAGTTAAGATGAGGTCATACTGGAGCAGGGAGGGCCCCTAATCCAATAAGACTGGTGTCTGCATAGAAAGGGTAATTTGGACACAGGCACACAGGCAATTTGGACACAGAGAGAAAACCATGAGAAAATTAAAGCAGAACCCTAACCGATTTGACTCAGTGGATAGAGCATCAGCCTGTGGACTCAAAGGTTTGATTCAGGTCAAGGGCATGTACCTTGGTTGAGGGCACATACCCAGTAGGGGGTGTGTAGGAGGCAGTTGGTTGATGTTTCTCTCTCATCGATGTTTCTAACTCTCTATCCCTCTCCATTCCTTTCTATAAAAAAATCAATAAGATACATTTTTTTAAAAAAATTAAATTAAAGCTGAGATTGGGGTGATGATTTTATGATCCAAAGAGCATAAAAGCTTGGCAGCAAACCACCAGACACCAGGAGCAAGAGAGAAAAGAGATATTTCCTCCATAGCCCTCAGAAGAAACCAGCCCTGCCAATACCTTGACCTTGGACTTCTGGCCTCCAGAACTGCTGGACAATATGTTTCTGTTGTTTATGCCACCAGCCTTGTGGCAGCCCTAGAAAATCAATACAGCTTCTACTTAGAATGGACAGCCAAAAAGAGGGATTTGGCCAGACTCAAGCAAT